TGTCAGAATGTCTAGAAAGACTGCAGTCCACACTCAGTTCGATGGAGCAGGAATTGGCCAAGAGGCAAAAGCAGGTGGAAGCGTCGAAGCAGGAGAAAAATGAGATTGCCGCGAGAGAAGTCGAAGTTCAGGAGTTGTTAAAGCAAGCTGGAGCACGTTTTGCTGCGTTGAAAGCAGATACCAACGGCGCCGTGGCTGATCCTCAAAGCCTAGGTGGTACTAATAACGGCTTCGCCGTTCCCATGATCGTCGATAGAGGGCTAGAAAGCTTTGGTAATACGCCTACAGTGAGGCCAGCAGTGGAGGACATAGGTTAGAGATACCCAATGCAATACTGAATTTCACAATTGCAAATTGTGAGAATTTATCAGTGGAACATGTTATACAGCTATTCTATATCTAGAATCCGGATATCCCTTACTTCTCGACCTCAATCGTGTTTCCAAATCCCGTCTTCCAGGCTTTATAATCCCAGCATGTGGAGTAGCTATTAACGTCATTAGTGCCTAAATCTCCGTTCCTCGAGGATCTAGTGTTGACTTACTCTCACCAACCGCCTTAGGCTGCGTAACAAGGATGATGTACTGTCCATCCAGCTGAGTAACCTGCGGTACAACAACCTTATCGTCCGGCAATTCTTTCACAAATTGTACGACTCGATTGAAAGGCAGAAATGTCCCGCTCGTTGCGTTCAAGGCTCGTCTGCCGACCGTCAACATAGTTGAGGGAGAAGATCCTTCAGGTCTCATTGCTGCAAGCATCATTCTGTTGACTGAAAGTGTTGATTAGCGAGGCGATATATAGGCAATCAACACTCGGCGATACATACAGGGTACGAGCATCTCGGCATTGACTCTCTCCATCGGCGCACTCGTGTTGATGATCCACATATACGAATTCAGAGAAACGGTGTTCGGCGGGAGAGTCCCAGGATTGATGCCATGCTTGAGCTCAATATTCATCCTCAGATCCACGTTCGTCTGCACGGTAAATCGCATCCCATCAATGAACTCAGCACATTGCAGACCAGGCCCAGCGGTCATATTGGCGGTCCTCGATTCCCCTTGCCCATATTGTATGAAGACATTACTGGTATCGACAGTTTTCCGAGCCACGAGTATGAACTCTCCTTCTATGGAAGTCATCTTCACTATCCGAGTATTGTTCTCGCTACGATGAACATTCCGCGTTTGGTCGTCGACGGTCCAGCTCTTCCCATCGGATGCCAGCGAGGCGACAAAGGTATTGGCCTCTAAGAGACCCTGTTGCAGTAATTCGACTGGGTCATACGGAATTTCAATCTTGGCTATGAGGTCGTTGGCTGTCTCATTCATCTTGATGATGTATGAATAGTTGGATACAGCGACAAATGGCCCGCCTGTTTCTCCTGTCATGAAAATTGCTGCCAGTGGCGCTTTGTTTTGTGTAACGACAAGTGTCCTGGGTTTGGGAGAGAGAATGTCGAGGGCGAGGCCGTCCTTGAAGTCTTGATCTGTTCGTTCCATCTATACCTATTAGTTTGCGGGAATGCAGGCGAATCCTCAAGACTTACATTACCCAGAACCTGGACTGTGTCTCCAAATCCTGGCAAAGTTTGGTTCTGTGCTCGCACCCCATTACAACAACATTGAAGATATAAAAGAATGGCGAGTGCACCAAGCATTCTCGAAAGGAAAGCCATGCCTGCAGCTATCACATCAAAAACAAAACAATGGAAATGACATGAAAAAGCAAGAGGATGGAGGGTCAGAATACCCCAGCGGGATCGGAAGAGACAACAAACGTGCCAGCAAGATTCGACGAACGCATTCCCAGAGCACCCAGGAACCTATATACAGCAGTATTATGCAACGCAGCCTCGTTCGTCAGATTATGTTCAGAGTATGCGGGTCAAACGTCGACTTTTCCGGATTCGACTCTTCCCACCGAGATGGAGAGCGGGAGATCATCGTGGCCGCACGAAAGATCCCAATCGTTTCTAGATCTGGATCTCGTTTGGCTCGCCAAGCCAGTTAAGGTTGTTTGAGAAACAACCACGAAACGAACTTCAGAACTCGCCGTGACGAGCACGGACTGTCTTCTGCATTTGACCGTGAAGCCAGTGACCGTTATATATGCAGCTTGTATGATAATGGGAAGCTTGCGTGAAAGATATCATCTTTTGTGCATAAGTGACTTGCGAGACAGAAAATAGAAGGAAGTTGAGGATATATCCCGTCCTTGAAGTAAACTTAGATCTCTTTAGGCTTGGGGGAATAACTGGGGCAAGCGGGTCAGACAATTGGGATGCAAAGAGGATCAAACTTGCTCCGCCGCCCTGGGGCAGATCATCTCCTCGATCTCAGACTGGTCTCAGAGCGATTACTATTTGGATTGGACTCTTGGAAATTCTCATCCCAAACAATGGAACACGCTGGATCCCAGGAAAACCACACGGTTGAATTACACCAAAATTCAGAGTGCTCTGGAAAATTTGGTCATCTGGTAAAGAACCTCGAAGCAAATACAGACACAGAGTTTGTACTTTCAATGATTACTCAAATTCTCTTAGAATCGGAATGTGATGTCCAGAAAGCGATGTCGGCTGGGGAAAATCCTTAACCCTGGGAAACATACGGCGGTGAGTCACGTCACCGGCGGCAGAAAACAAAACGAAATGGCGGGATGATTCTCAATTACCAAATCTGACATATACTCACAACAATCAAATCGTTTCCAATTGACAAACTTATCATCATGTCTGGAACAATTCTCCATCTTCGTTCCGAGTGTAAGGCTTCAATGTCTTGAAATCATGCTACGAAAGTTACTAATGCGTTCGGCAGTGGGCAAAGCCCTCGAGCACCGTTCCGCCCTCACACCGAAAACCACCAAGGCCCTCATAGATGCTGGCTATACAGTCAATGTTGAGCGTAGCCCAGAGCGTATATTCGATGATAGCGAGTTCGAGGCTGTTGGAGCTACACTGGTGCCAGAGAACACGTGGCGCGAGGCACCAACAGATCACATCATTATTGGGTTGAAGGAGCTTCCTGTTGAAGAATGTATGCCAATGGATTCCTTGTCTCAATTGCAATATCTGACGTTATTTCAGTCCCTCTCAAGCATGTCCATGTCCAATTCGCACATTGCTACAAGCAACAAGGTGGATGGGAGAAGGTCCTGTCTAGATTCCCTCGCGGCGGCGGCACACTCCTCGATCTCGAATTCCTTACCGATGACAAGAATCGCAGAGTCGCTGCGTTCGGATATCATGCTGGATTTGCCGGTGCAGCCCTTGCTCTCGAGACGTGGGCATGGCAACTCACACACCCCGCCTCGGAGCCCTTCCCAAGCGTATCAAGCTACCCTAACGAAGATGCTCTGATTGTGGACGTCAAGAAGGCAATTGCTGCTGGAAAGGAGAAGACTGGCAAGGATCCGCGCGTACTGGTCATCGGTGCTCTTGGAAGATGCGGTAGCGGTGCTGTGGACCTCTGCTTGAGAGCAGGCGTGCCAACTGAGAACGTGTTGAAGTGGGATATGGCTGAGACAGCCAAGGGCGGACCATTCCCTGAGATTGTGGAGAGTGACATCTTCGTCAACTGCATATACCTCATGTCCAAGATTCCCAACTTCGTTGATATGAAGAGCCTTGATACCCCCGACCGCAAGCTCTCGGTCATCTGCGACGTCAGCGCCGACACCACCAACCCAAACAACCCCATCCCAGTCTATACAGTCGCTACAACCTTCAACGAGCCAACGGTGCCGGTTGAGGTTAAGGGCGAGCCAAGACTTTCAGTCATTAGCATCGATCACTTGCCAAGTTTGCTTCCGAGAGAGGCAAGTGAGGCTTTCAGCAAGGACTTGTTGCCAAGTCTGCTGTCCTTGAAGGAATGGAGAACACACCCAGTATGGTCCAAGGCCGAGAAGCTTTTCCAAGAAAAGGTTGCTACTCTGCCCAAGGATTCTTTGTAGATGGATATTAGGCATCATGCCGGAAAAGTAAATGACTTTAGATTTTCTGGTGCCCAAGCAATTCCAAAAAAAATTCTAGACAAAGACTCAAGATATATACTTCCAGACTCCATAAAATCCCTTAGCTTGAGCTAGCCATATTACTATGTAAATACTCAATTACTATTCAATTGACTAGACTTCTTGACGATAACTATGCTCCCACAAAAGACAGTGTCTATCCTCAAAAGCCAACAAGCTCAGCACCGCTGTGAAGGAAGACGGAGCTGGCAGGAAGCTGCAGCACATCAAAGTAGTATGCAATATGCCTGTAGAGCCCTTTTGTAAACAACATACTTGGAAAATAGTATCATGAACGGAAAGAAGGCCCGTTTGAATTGGAAGTAAATCTTCTACAGACCTCCGGCTGTGCCCCGGGATCCACTATCTCCACTTCATTCACCCACAAACCCCAAGCCGAAAGTTTCAGATTTCTTTATCGAGTGTATGTAATAAAATAAGGGAATCCCTCCATAACATGTGTTAATCAGGGGATATGACGAAGTGGTATCGTGCATCATTTGCATTCTGCCTTGCAGCAGTAATACATGATTTGATGAAATCCCGTGTTCGATCCGCGGTATCTCCAATCCATTACACATTCTTCAGTTCTTCGGTGCTACCATTTTTACTTTTTTGACCTTGGGAATATTTTGCCCCCTCCTGGTCTGCTTGAAGTCCTCGCTTGTTTTCTTCCTGTCCACCGTGGGCGAACGCAAGTTCAAGCGGGCAAAAAAAGGGGCGGCAGGTTTTTTTCGCTTAAGCGAAAATAAACAGATCCACCAAGTACCATCTATATACAGCAATTGCCAGGTTGCCGTGACCCAGCAAAATCGAGTAAGATTGAAATTACTAAGACAAAACTCTATATCAATACCCCTCAAGTCACCCATATCTGGACAAAAGAGAACATCCATCTCCACTTTAGAGAGGAAGCCACAGCTTTATTCATACAATTCAGTGTGCCAGGGGGCAGAACGACAAAAAGAAAATGACTTCTTTGGAGCAGGTATGATTCGAACACACGACTTTTCCAACATTAACTTTATTCGTTAGAACTTAGAATTTATGCGAATGGAACACGCTACCACTGCGTCACAGCCCCGATTTTAGAAGTGGATGAGGATGATATGGTGTATTTGGTTAGATACACAGCATAGTAAATTCCAAGATTCTCCCCCAAACAAGGTGGGCTTGCACCCAATATGAAATGAGGGTAGATAACAAGAAGTTGCTGCTTCTATTGCCCAATGCACTCTACGAATTTTGGTGGAATCATACTTGCCGGTGTTTCTCATCTGATCTGGAGCTCCCATTGAGGCTATTATGCAAGCATATGAGCACTACATTCAGCTGGTTGGAGGTGATATCCAAAAGTGCGCCTTTGTTTACACTACCTTTTCCATAAGCGAAGAACCTGAAAGGAAAGGAGGTCCTTTGAAATTGGAAGCTTTTGTATTTTCCTGTGAATGAAGAATAGGGGAGCCGCAGGCTGCTCACCTCCACTACGAAGTTTAAGCATATCGCTTATAAGTGAATGATCTACTAGTGGCTTCTCATAGCTAATTTGGTCTTGTCCTTTCAAAATCACGAGATTCCTTCTAGAGCAAACAAAAAAAGTACCCATCCAGCTCCAAAGCAGATCAGATACCGCCCACTCTACTAGCTACATTTGGTTCCGACAATAAGATCCCATGCCAACATCTTTCACATTCGCGACGTATGTCAACGAACTCCCGGGTATAACGCCTTCCTTGTTGTCCATCACTTCAGCTTCTCAGCAAGCCACTTCTCCGCAACGGCAACACCCTCTCCGATCTTGTGTGGGTTGGTACCCTGGCCAGTTCTCGTAGGCTCCTTTCCTCCTGAGCGGCCACCGATGACTTCGGAGACTGAGGCAGCCCAGTGCTCGGCAGTGACGCCATTTGACGTGTGATCCTATGAAATTGATCAGTACAAATAATCAGTGAAGAAAGAAACATGAAACTTACAGTGCCAACGTAAACACCGTGCACAATCTCCGTCTCGGTACCAGCGAAGAGATAGACAGATTTGTCCTTAGCCTTGGACTTGAAGTGGTTCATAACATCGGCAATAGCCTTCGAGTTAGCAGAGATGGGCAAGTGGCCAATGTAGACGTTGCTGTCCTTGTTCTCGGCAAAATGGCCAATAACGGTATCAAGTGCAGTCTTCGACTCGGCCTTCTGCTTCTTCTTCTGCTCGTCCAGGAGACTCTTCTGAATCTTGGCGAAACGTGTTTTGAGCTCCTCTTTCGTCAGAGATGAGATCGTGAGTTGGTTCAGATCGTTCTGTACAGATTTGACCTCGGCCTCTTTCTCTGGTCCGTGTGGCATCTGTTCGAGAGTCGAAATTCGCTTGCCGAACTCGATGGCGAGGCGTTGAACTTCGTGAGCGGCGTCACCAGTGTAAGCGATGATACGTCGGATACCCTTAGCAATACCGCTTTCTTCCACAATGACAAGATCCTTGATCAAGCCCGTCTTTTCAACGTGGGTTCCGCCGCAGAATTCAACGCTAACTTCTCTCCACTTGGAATTTGTAGGGTTTTCCAGAAGCTCATCAACAGGCACACCTACGGAAACGACTCTAACTGGATTGGGATATGTCTCTCCGAAAACAGCGCGAACACCTTCGATACCCTTGGCAACATCCAGGTCGACCTCCTTAGAGTAGATCTCGCAATTCTGCTTGATGTACGCATTTGACGAATCCTCAATCTTCTTAATCTCCGGCAAAGTGACTTGAGCTTTGTGGGAGAAATCGAATCTCAGCTTGTCCTGGTCAACGAGAGATCCCTTCTGATTGATGTCTTCGCCTAAATGTTCCCGCAAAGCATGGTTGAGAATATGTGTTCCTGTGTGGTTGTTTCGGATTGGCTGTCTGCGAAGTTCGTCATATTCGCAAATGATCTCATCTCCAGCCTTCAATTGGCCGTACTCCAGGTAGCCATTGTGGACAATATACCCTCCATATGCCTGGACATCAAGCACCTTGAACTCAGCAACACCATCAATAATGATCTTGCCTGTATCAGCAACTTGACCTCCCTGCTCTGCATAGAAGTTTGTCTTGTCGAGCAGGATACCGAAAGGCTTGTCGGATGGCAAACCCTCGGTTGTCTTAAGGAAGCTCATTCCATCGTAGACGAGCGACACTTTGGCAGTGGTGTCTCCCTTCGAGAACTTGGCATCGTCGTTCGGTCTTGGGACACCCATCTTGTCCAATTCTGCGATTTGATGTACATCAAACTTGGCAAAAGTATGCGATGCCTCCTTGACAGACATACTGGCCAATCGAGCAGTCTCCTTTGCGACCTCGATCTCCGCGTCGTCAGTCTCCAGCCCTCTCTCCTCAGCCATGATCTTGGTCAAGTCCTCCGGGAACCCGAAAGTATCGTACAACCGCCAAACGTCTGCACCAGAGAGCTTCTTCTCGCCATTCTTAACAGCAAGAGCAGCGTACTTCTCGAACTGCTTCTCGCCACGATCCAGTGTCCTAGCGAAAGCCTCTTCCTCCTCATCCAGAATCTCCTTAACATCGCCTTGCTTTTCCACAATCTCAGGGAATTGAGCGCCCATCTGCTCAACAAGAGCAGGCAGAATCTTGGAGAAAAAGCTGCCGATCTCAGCATCGAAGTACTTTCGGGCATATCGAGAACCGCGACGCAGGACTCGGCGCACGACATATCCTCTACCGATGTTGTTTGGTACGCCTCCGTCCGAGATGGCAAAGGTCAGCAACCGGATGTGATCAGCAATGACACGGTATGCGGTATCAATGCCATCCACATCATCCTTCCCGTATTTGTCGGTGTATTCCCTGGCTCCTGTGACTTCCTGGATCTTGAGAAACAGTGGGTGAAAAACGTCGGTGTCGTAATTTGAGGACTTGTCCTGCAACACCGATACCAATCTCTCGTAACCCATACCGGTGTCGACATGCTTTGCTGGAAGAGTCTTGAGAGACTTGTCCTTCTGCCTATCGTATTGAATGAAGACGTTATTCCAGATCTCGAGAACATTCGGGTCGTCCATATTGACCAGACTTGCAGCATTCCGACCACCACCTATCCGATCATAATGAACTTCGCTGCAGGGTCCACAAGGTCCTTGGTCACCCATCTCCCAGAAGTTGTCCTTCATGTTACCAGGTAAGATGTGATCTTCTGCGACGCCAACCTTCTTCCACAATTCCTTGGCCTCCAGATCTGGCTCCAATCCTGCAGAAGCGTCCCCCTCGAAGTATGTGACATAGAGACGATCTGGATCTAACCCGTAAACTTTCGTAAGAAGCTCCCATGACATCTCAATGGCACCCTGCTTGAAGTAATCGCCAAAAGACCAGTTGCCCAGCATTTCGAAGAAAGTCTGAGTCACATTAGCCAAATTCGTAGGGACCAAACAATGCCACTTACGTGATGGTAGCTATCTTTTCCAACATCATCCAAGTCCTATACAGCACCCACATCAGCTATGTCATTCTATTGGTACAATATATCCTCACGTTGTGTTTTCCTCCAGCGCGAATACACTGTACAGCGGTCAGCATGCCCCTCCATTTGTTCAGCAACCATTGTACTTCACCTTCTGCGTGTCTACAGCTCTCTTCAACTGTGCCATATCATCGGTCTGGCCTATTGTCCCCAGGAAAATAGGCTTGAACTGGTTCATACCAGCGTTGGTAAAGAGGAGGGTAGGATCATTGTGGGGTACGACCGAGGACGAGGGCACTGCAGAGACCATACATTAGCTACGTACTCTTGAAAGACCTCAAGGAAACTATAGAGAGAATAAACAGTATCCCCAGCTCCAATTGAGGCATCATTTGCGTCGTGAGTCCTGCCCAAAAATGTTCCCCTCCATAGCAAAACTACCCCGCTACATACCGATCGTGTGTCCCTTGCTCTCAAAGAACTCCAAGAAGGTCTTCCTGACCAGCGGGGCGGTCCATTTCTCCTGCGCCATCCTTGCGATCGTCGTCGAGAAGATTCTAGATGTGCGGTGGATTGGAATGTTGGTTGTTGCGCGCGTGCGGCCAAGAAAGGTATTTATTCGCGTCGTCCTCTGATGCTGGTGCTGCAGGCGTTGCTCGGTAGTAGTAGAAAATCGTCGAAGTCGGAGGTGACTCAGGCGGATTCTCAAACCGACTCTTCGCAAATCATTCATCCGCGCCCTCTATCCTCTGCACTGGACCTCTGGTATTTCCCGATCCCGATAGGTAGCCTAGGCGAAACACAGGACTTTGGCTTCTTGCTGCGACCGTCTGCGACTTTGTTTAATCGGTGATTGGAGGGAGTGTTGGGTTGCACGGTGTTGAAGTGGTTTGGCTAGGGAGGGAGAGATGGGAGGATGGACCGCGTAGCGAACAGCAAGATTAGGAAGAGAAAGGCCGAAAATCAAGACAACGAGCGATTGAACAAACGCCTGAGCTTGCTGAATCTAGGTGCGTATATTCTATTCCCGATTTACTGCGAGGGATTTTGACTTATGTTTACTTTTGGCAGAGCGCAATGGCGAGAAGCTCTATGTCCCCGTGGAACATCCCACGCCTAACCTCACAAAGCCCAAATCCCCAGCGCAACGACCACCACATGACGATGATATGATGCAATTGGACGATACGAAGCACAAAGTCTACATTTACGACCTAGATGCCGAGCTATCAGACAGCGAGTCTTCTGATGATGGCAAGCTTGTCTTTCTACCAGACATCCAAAAGCACCTCCGCGAAACGCGCATTCCTCCTATGGTACTGGCAAACAGCGAGGGCGAACTGGCAGGCAATAACCAACTAGTGCTATACAATATTCCAAGTTCATTGACGGTGCCCGAGGAGCAGGATAGTGTTCGGAAGGCTATTATTGAAACGAGAGCCAGAGCTCGGGCGGCGCAAGAGCAGAAACGGAACGAAGAGACCCGGCAGGCTGAGTCGAAGAAGACACCCGATGCACGAGACTGGTATCGACACATGGAAGAAAGTGGAAATGTTTCCCGAGCACCGACTTTTGGAAATCCAGAACCGGAGCCTATGGACGGGGAGCCTACATTACTTATGACCCAAGGATCTCTGGACGGCGATCCAGAT